AGGGGCTGGGGGAAACGAGGTAGGGGTTGTTGGGCAGCTGTAGGGGTTTGGATGCGCTCTTGGGGTGGAGCGTGTGGTGGGTGAGAGGGCTGTGGGATAAGGGGATGTTGGAGGTCCCTGGGGCTCGGTGGTGTGGGCTGGAGCCCTGGGGGACACGGACGTGGGCTGCAGCGCCGTGGGTGCGGAGGCAGTGAGGACGGGAGTCCTCCGGAGGTCTGGGTCAGCGTGGGCCAAAGGAGAAGGTGCGTTGGATGGGAATTGGGGGGCCAAGGGGATGGGTTGAGACGTTACAGGGGGCTGTGATGGATGTGGGGCGCACAGGGTGTGTGAGGAAGGGCTGGGGGAACCCTGAGGGTTTGGTGCTGCCCGTGGGACCAGGGGTGCGAGGGGGCCGTGCTGGGGGGGGCTGGCGGCGGAGCCCCTTGGGCTCGCGTGCCCCGAGGCGAGGAGTGGCAGGGGCCGGCGGGCTGGGAGAGGAGAGGAGAGGAGGCTGTCTGGAGCAGGCGCTTCCAGGGCTGCCTGCTGCCCGGTGGTGGCGTGTCCCCTGGGGCTCGGACTGCTGCAGGCTACGGGGTTGTGGATGGCTGCTGGTTACCGTCGGTAGCTGCAGACTGGTGTAACTGGGGAGATGTGGTGCGCTTGGAGGAGGACTCCGGGTCAGGGTGCTAGCAGAGGCTGCTGACTCTGAAGCCAGGACGTGTGTAGGTTCCCACGGTGAGGAGAGCTGCTGGATGAATTTACTGGGACAGACGTGCAGCCGGGTGTTCGGCAAGGCGTCCTCTCGCTGCTCTTGCTCCGTGCACGCTCGCCCTTCCTCAGTAATTTTCATGGCTTGCAGTAACACTCCTCTGCTACGCTTCTCAAATCGGCGGTGGCTGGTGGGGTTTGGGGGTCGGCTGTGCTGTGCTGGGGGCTGCACAAGCAGATGGAGGGCACGGTCATTTGCTTTAGCATTTAAAGTACGGCGCTATGTGATTTGCTCCGTTTTGAAGCTCTTAGACCTTTGTTAGTTTTTTTTCTCCTCCCCTTTTTTCGGCATCTCCCGAGGAAACCGCTTGCTGGTGTGTTTCTTGAGTTGCAGCTTTTTGCCATTTCAGCTTCTCTGCTGGAAATGCAGGTGTTCCTGTTCCCTGAGCAACTGGTTTATATTGGGGCAGGGAGAGGAGATGTGAGTCCAGCGCTGAGTGATGCTGTCACCGTGTGGCCTGACTATTTTGAAGGATATGACTTACCCATTTGCGGCCAGATTTGATCTATTATTCCTTTCACATAACCTTATCAGAACTCTGCTGTTGCACGTTGAGCTGAATGGCAGAGACCTGCTGACACGGAGAGCTCGTGCTTTCCTGGTGCACACATTTGCTCCTCTGAAATGTAAATCTGCTCTTGGGTTGAACTTTATTCTTCTCTTTTAATATTTTAAACATTCTGAGCCCTCGTTTTGAGTGGGAAACTGCTCTGACCACTTCAGGCTTGTCTAAGTTAGAAGATGGATGTACTTGCGGGGTGTTTAGATAAGGTGGAGAGGGTCAGTGAGTTAAATACACACCACGAGTGTTATCAGCCTCTTGTTCTAACAGCCCCGCCGCGCTTTCCAACGATGCGTGGTGATGACAGCGACCTTTTTTCCCCCGGTAAGACAACGGCTTGTGATACCAGCTGATTTGTGGAGTGGGCAGACTGTTTGACGTCTGATCAGCTAGCGTGATTTTTCACATGTAAACGTGGTTTCGTGTGTAGATGCGTATCTGAAGGATGGTGAATGTCACAGCTGTCACTCATAGCTTCTGTGTTCATTAAGTTGACTGTCAGTTGACACTATAACGATCCCTTTCTCCCACCAAACTTCCCAATCCCTGAATCTTTTTCTCCCTGCTGCTGAGTTACAGTCAGGCTTTTTGCATGTTTATGACAGTGGTTCTCGGTCTGGAACCGTGTTGGTGTTCCCAGCCCGTTGGGAGTCGTTGCAGCGCATCATTAACTTGCTGTGTGACATCGGCAGCAGCATCCCTGGCTTTACAAGCGTTTGCGTGCACACCCCATGAGTGTTATTGCAAACCTGAGTGGATCGTGACCTCTGTGCCGCGTTTGTACGAGCAGCGGCTGCGGTCTTCCTCGATCTCAGCGTTAGAGACGCCGGGCAGTGACGGTGAGGGCAGTCTGCTCTTACCCGCAGTCACCTCTTGCAAACCGGCAGTGGGGTGGGAGTTCCGGGGGCCGCGGTGTGCGCGGCTGCGGCACTGGGAAGCAGGGAGGTAGCTGGGGATTGTTCGAGGGCTTGGGTGCTGCGGTGAATGGTGCGTGTTAGGTATTGAAAAGGGACTTTTAACGAATTAGAGGCTTTCTGACTGTTTCCGGTGCTCTGTCAACTTGTTGGGCTTTTACTTTGGGCTAAACGACTCCACGTGAGAAGACTCGTGCTTGTTTTATAGTGAGGAGGTTTTCATGGGAAACAGCTGCTAAATTTACCTGCAAGGAGAGTCTGACAGTTGTTTGGGGAGCAGCTGGGACGAGCTGGGCAGTGTTCGAAACTCTTTTCTGTAGCGCGGGCTCAATCGAAGTGACTGCTTAGCGTCCTGGTGTGGCTGTGAGACGGCGCTAAGATGTACGAGCTCTGCTGAAAGGTTTATTACAGTAGCAAACATACTCCTCCAGGTCCCCTAGTACAGCAGCAGAACATTGGATTTTGGGGATTGAGTTTCCAAAAAAAGTAGCCAGACTCAGTTTCAAAGGGGCCTTAGTGTATCGGAGAAGAAATTTGGGCAGTTGCCTTCTGCCTGTGTGTCACCCTGTCTCTGTTGTGGTCTGTTTTCACTCTGCAAAGTGAGAAATTAACTCTTGCCCCTGGTGCCAGGCCTGATGACTGACTTCTTTGCTCATCTCTTGAGGAGCGCGATTGCTGCGGAGCACCTTCGCCTGCGGTTTCCCTGCTTCCCGGGGGCAGGGAGGATGTTGCAATAAGTTCTCCACAGCAGGCATGGTATTTAATTATAGCTAACTTTGCCTTTCTGTACTCCTTTAAAGATAACTTCAAGGGTTTGGAAACAGGGAATGTGAAGTTTTGTCTGCCTGACACTTCATGGAAAGTCGAAGATTGGCAAATTAAAGGGACCTGATGCTGTGGGCAGAGGGTGGAAGGGTAGAGGTGACAGAAGAGGGTTTGCGCAGTGTCCACCCCACCAACCCCTGCCCTCTCCGGAGGACAGCCTCCCAGGGTGTGCAACAGGTCAAGAACAACTTTGGAATAACTTTAAAGTTGAAGAAGGGTTTTCTCTTAAATCTTATTCCTGTATCTTGATTTTTTTTTTTTTCCTGATGATGATTGGATCATTTTCTAAATTAAAAACAGTAAATATGGACTGGACATGTGCCCAGAGAAAGTCACGGTGCCAATTAAGTGGAAGCATTAATGGAAGTAGTAAGTTGATGGGGAGGGCTAAGATGCTTCAGTTGGTGGCTAACTTTTTATCAAGGCTCTGCAGCGCTGGAAAGCTGCTTAAACAATAGATGTCTTCAGTGCCGGTGGGTAAAATAAATCACAAAATAGGTATCTGGAGCAGGGGTTTAGTTTTTTGTATGTATGATAAAGCTGTATGTGAGAGAATTTAGGTTACAAAGCTTTGTCACTGAGATTTGGAAGTATTTAGAAAAGGGGGTAAGACTGCTTTTATCCTCGCTCAGAAGTGGGTCCTGCCGCAAGCTTCTGGCAAAACGGCCTTGTGCCTTTTGTAAGAGCCAAACACAATTTCTTAGTTGGGCACCTGTGAGAAGCATCTCCGACGCCCACGCAGTTGCCTTGCAAAACTGCAGTCAGCCTGCAAGGCGAGAGGATGGCCGGAGGCGATGGGGTAGGGGTCTACGTCAACTGGAAAGAAAAGACAGGTTACTTTAATTTTAGGGATGTGCGTGGTGTGGGAAGCTTTACCTTTACCAAGGCTAGGACACGGGAACTTTTCTAATTAAGGGTTTCTTACCCCTCGGTTGTGGTGGAGAAACCTGTCCATGGTCAGTTCTGTACGTTTCGTGTTTTCCCTTCCTCAAAGCAACTTTTGGCAGCCTTCCTCTTTCTGCGCGGTGATTTTGATTCCTGGTCCTGCTGAAGCTGCTCACATATTTAAATGTACTCCTGATAAGGGAGCTGCTAAGCTGTCCTCCACCCCCTGAACCCCATTCCAAGAACGGGGTCATAAATGCTCGGCTGGGCTGGCAGAGCTCCCTTGTTCCTTCCTCCACCTGATTTCGGGTGTCTTTGATGTCAGCACAGTATTTAGTTCCTTTTTTTTTTTTTAAGTCTCGCTGTTTGGACTGCCTGGTCTCAAAAGACCATCTGAGGTGCCGGTCCCAGCTTTTTCGGTGCAGTTCTGCAGCATTTCAGATGTCTCAAAAATAAAGTTTTGGATTGGGTACAAAACAGGCATTTCCTGAAAGAAACGAGCGTGTTTGTGGGCATCGTGCGGGAAGCTGCATTCCCACTGTTCCACCTGCTAAGCATTTGTGTTGAGCTGGGGGACTGGTCTGAGCTGGGACACGAATTGTTTCGTGCCATTTCTTTAACAAGGAGAGCAAATGCTGGTGCATAAAGTCATAGAAGATGCCCCCGGCAGTGAATTCTGTGGAACGTGGTGTTCTGTCACATAAACTTAACTGCCCACCATGTTTATTACAATTTAAAAGTGAACTTTGTCAAGGTCTTGAGGCTTTCGTACTTCCTGCTTAGATAACTGAGCTGAGCTCTCCGAGTGCGAGACGTGCACAAACTCCAAACGAAATCACCAATTTCTGCAGGTAAGCAGGAAGCGAGATGTGATAGACCGTGATAAGCCAAACGAGAAGGAAATGCAAAGATAGAATTAAAGATAAAGTCTCTCCCTAGGGGGTGAATGTGCCACTGTGTAACACTAAAAAGGCAGGAAAATAAACCCCGGTGGAAAGCTAATGTGAATAAGGGAACGCAAACGGCAGGCTGAGGTAGTAAGAAGGGTATGGGGAGGATGAGGAGCAGTGGAGGAGAGGGAGATCGGTTTCTGGCTTTTGCCGAAGCAGATGGTGGGGCTTACAAAGAGGTGGTGGCTTGCCAGGGTTTGGGGGGAGGCTTGGCTTCCTGCTGCCGTCCACGCAGCCTCCGGGATCTGCCCATGTAACGTGATCGTTGGGATCCGTTCAGGGCCTGGAAATCTGCTGAGAACCTTTCAGGTCCAGGAGTCTGATGCAGATCTCCGCTCCTTGATCGTACCCTGGCAGCTCCGTTTTCAGAACACATCTCATAGCACGGGCAAAATCATTTCTTGTAGATCAGTGAGCATCTAGAGATAAAATCAACTTAATGTAAACACAGCTTAATGCTTATAAGGAAAAGCAAGTCCAGAAATTAGAAATGCTTTGTGAATCCATGAGGTTTCTTGGGTTTTCGGGGGCACATCTGCATAGAGGCTGCAGAATTTGGAATTTTTTAATTTTTTTTTTTTACTGCTTCACTGTGAGGTTAAGGGCAGGAAGCAGCAAAACCAGTCTGTGGCCTGAAATATCGAGCTGCATTCAGTAGGTTTTGCCAGTAGCAGTAAGGGATGAATTGTGTTAAAGCCAAATCTGCAGAAAAAGCTTTTTATTTTCATCTATTGATGTGAAAAGACTGGATCTTTGTTGACGAGAGGGGAAACTGAGGCTGCTGTTGAGCCCCAGATTGTGTATGTAATCTTCTGTAAGTGTATCAAGGAGAAACTTCTGCTGTGAATTAGGACTTTTTTGTATACATCTGTTGTGGGAAAGGATTCGGTTGTTGCTTCGCAGAAGCCACAGCAAGTGTTCTAGTCAATTTGCAGCAGTTATTGCTGGTGAGTATCTTGTTTGGTTTAGGAAATGACATGGTGTAATAGCTGAACACTTAAAGTAGCTTCAGATAGTCCAAATGTGGTTAGAGTCAGAAAAATTACTTCTATTTAAAAAAAGTGGGGTTTCATATTTGTTCTTGTGCAGCTGGATGATTTAAAGAAGTGATTTGTTAGTGCTAGACGTTCCCCCGGTGGTCTGCGAGTCCGGCTGCAACCTTTCTGCCCGCTGCGTTTCCATCGGGAAGGGAGGTCCCGCGCGGACGGTGGGGCTGACTGGGGGAAAAGAGGAATCGCCCCATACGTCGCAGAGAAAAGGCTGTTAGCGCGTCTGTCCGTTCACAGGTGTCTTGTTACCGCGTTATGTGTGGCCAGGTCTTGTGATGAAGTGGCAAGTCCTGCAGTGTTTGGCTGAGATGGCGGCAGGGAACAGCAGCTCTGCTCCAAGGTCCAAGCTTCCAGGAGTGTGTAAAGGTGCAAACAAAATACTTCCCGATCTTCCCCTTCCCCCATAAAAAGGAAGTTGCTCCCGGTGCGTTCGCAGAAAACAGGGCTGTGTTAGAAATCACGACTGGGTCTTTCGTTCTTCTTGGCGCTGTGATTAATAATCCAACCCGCTTTTAAATTGTTTTCTATTCCACACCCTACCGTGCAAACAGCTAAGCAGGACAGATCTCTCTTTAATTAGATACCTGAACGTTGGTATTGCTAAGAGTATTAGTGCCACAGGCATTAGGTGTGCACCGGCTCTTTTTCTGTGAATTGTTTTCTAAGCACTTTTTAAATAATTCAGGAAGGCTGCAATTATTGGCAGTGACTCTCAAGCGTTTTGGATCTGTGATCTTCTAATTCAGCTTTGGAACATTTTGTTTGCTTGCTTTGGTCAGCACAATTCTGTGGTTAGGGTTGTGTCCAGGGAGGACTGGGTTTTTCGTGCCATAAACTTGCTGTGGGACCTTGCATAAGTCACGTTAGCCGTGCCCTGCTTTGCTCACCTAAGCCACGGATGCTACCTATTTTCCTCTGTAGAGGAGGACTTGGTTTTTTTATGTAGCACCCAGGGCTTGCTTGGCATGCGTATGAAAACCGTGTTGTGTAGGAGGCTTCCCCTTCTTTGAAACTCCGTTGGGACAGTTTTGTCCTGCTTCCTTCCAGACATGCTGCGTGCAGGCTGAGGTTTCCATGCCGTGCACGCAGAGGGCAGCGACCTGGTGCTGCCTGGTTTGGTTGGCAGAAGAGATGGTTAGAAGTTGAAGGGAGGTGCAGTGGTGCTGTGGAGGGTGTGTGAGAGCTGGATTAAATGGGTAAGGAGTTGGGAGCAGATGTGGATTGATTGAAGTGGCACAGCCTTCGAGCAAAGTGCTCCGAGTGCAGCGCGTCGGATTGGAATCTCTGTTAACTCTGAGTAAAAGTGTCTTAACTGTGTAGGCAGTGACTCAAAACCTCTGTGACTGATTAATCTAACGTTGGCTCTATAACACAGGTGGGTGTCCGGGCTGGGGCGAATTCTTCTGGCTATTGACTTCCCATCAGTCTCTACCCGGGTGCTGAGTTCTCCAGTGTCCTGGGACTCGCTCCCTTGGGAGTGCCAACGTGTTTGTGTCAGACGGAGGGTGAGAACACATTAGCTTAATTTTCACTTTGCTTTGAGAATTTCTCAGCAGAGTGTCTTGAAGTGCCAAATAGGTTTTGGAAATATCCATGTGCTCGTACAGGTTACCTCAAATACTCCATGAGCGAGTTACTGTGGGCGAAGACGTGGTGTGAGGAGCGTTAGGTGGGTGAGGAGTGTTAGATGGGTCAGATTGTGTTGAGGATGCTGAGGATGTCAGAACCAAGCCAGTTATCGCCCGCTGGCAGATGCCAGGATTTAAATAGTTGCAGTATCCCCACGCGTCGCAGGGGCTGGGGGCAGGAGCAGAGCCGAGGAGGCAGGGCTCCCAGGGTGTTTTTCCCATTGCTAGGTTACACTCCTTCCCAGGAGCATCATTTTACGGCTCTTCGCTTTCGCAGGGCTCACATAAGATTTGTGCTCTGCCCCATCATGGGAGGAACAGTGAAATGCATCCATGACATGCAGTTTACTTATTTTCTGTGCCCTGAACTAGGCTGGTTCAAGAGCTGTCTGGAGTATCCTAAACAGCTGTAAGAAGCCCAAGGACTGAGAAGGTGGTTTGTGTTCAGGGCTCTCGCAGGAGCAGTTTGAGCTGGGCACCGATGGTTTGGTTAAAATGCCAGGTGCAGTCTTGAATTTTGCATCTTGAGGTCTTTAGGGCTCACTTTATTGATGCTGGAATCAGCAGCCGCATTCAGCGTGTTCATGCAGGGGGATTTCTCTGTGTTCACCTTGATGGCAGAGTGGATGCTTGTGAGGCTTGAGTGGACTGAGTGGATGTTTGTGAGATTCCGTGATGGCTTTTTTGATCTGTGTACCCCAACTTATTATCCTACCATTGAGCTGTGTGTAGGAATTTCAGGATCAAACCCACAGCTATGCATGTAAACAAATAGGGGATATTTGAGCAATGAGATACTGACATTTCCATAGCCTTATTCCCCTCTACTTTTGTCTGCGGTCCCGAAAGTGAAGAAATGTCACTGTAGACTTGAGTACATCCAGCATGCTCTGCGTTTCGAAGACAGGAGCTACGCAGAGTTCAGCTGGACACTGAATATTTAACAAACGGGTTTTGGCACTTAGTAATGAAATTTGAAGGTTACAACTAAGCTTGTCCAGCAGTTAGTTGCTGAGAGCAGTGGTCTTGTCCTCCCCCATTTTCTTTCCCTGATATTCGAGTTGTTGTGTGGCTGTGCCAGAGTGAATCACTCCAGTTGGCTGATCTAACAGAAAACTTTTGTTTCGTGAGGCTGCACAGTTCCTAGATCCAGCAGGAGGGAAGCGGCAGAACCCTGCAGGTGACAGTTCGGAGGAGCAGGATCTCCCCTTCCCTTCTCTTTTGCTTGGAGAGCAGTTGTCCTGCTGCTGCTCTCTGCGTGCAGTAATTCGTATCTGCGTATGGACTGCCTAAATAGTATGCGTTTATGGAAGTGGAGCTTGGTGACACGGGTCCTGCGCTGCTCTGGCTGATTAAGGCTGTTTGGCAGAGAACTGAAGATGAATGTATGAAACAGTGTTTGATACATTAGGAGGAGCTGAGCCAAGAAACAGTGTTCATCCA